CATGACCGACCCTGGTTGTAATCTGTTGTTGCAAACCGTGCACACCTTTCGTAGGCATGCTAACCACGACCAGGTCAACCTCATCATGGAGACTGCCCTTCGCGACTGGTCAGAACTCCGTCATCGACCGGGGCCGTGTCATGTGCTTCTAGAACGATTGCATGCAATAGGCTGGCAATGGCTTGGCCAGGGATGGGTTGCCGACCACCTCAACCGACCATTAGATCTTTTGCAAGGCTCCAGCACAGAGATTCGCTTGCGCCTCCTCGAGGGATGGCAAATCTTCGTACAAAGATGTGTCAGCCGAAGAAAAACGCTCCAAGGCATTGAATGGGCTAATGCGGCCTTCACCATGGAAAAACTCTCTTCATGGCCACAGGCAAAACTGGGTCTCATACGTAAGGTCTTGAACGGCGCATTCTTCACGGCTGATACCCAACTCCATAACCGGAAAGCCCATACGCTCACCTGCAAATTCTGTGGACAACCTGATTCACAATTCCACAGATTTTGGGAATGCGCCCATTTCCGGGAGGATAGACCATACCCTTGGCTAGTACAAAAGGTCCGTGAAGGAGGACTCCCCAGATGCCTCACCTATCATGGGTGGATGGGTTTGCCACCAGAAGCCCATGCACTCCAACAAGCCCTGTATGATCAGCCAGATCTCACAGGCGTGTTCGAACATTTGCCGTTCCAACCAGTGGACCTGTTTCTTGATGGATCATGCATCAACCCGACCTGCTCGATCACTCGCCTCGCAGGTTGGGGTATCGTAGCCTCGAACCCACAAGACCAAGACGCTGGAGCCCATTGGCGCAAGGAGTAGTTCCCGGCCGAATCCAGACAAGTCAGAGGGCCGAAATCACGGCCGCCATCAGTGCGCTCAAGTACGCGTGGCGCCAAGGAGGCCCGCTGAGACTGTGGAGCGACAATGCACTCGTCGTGAACACACTTCGACATGCATTGACGAACCCTGATCAATGCAAGTACGGCCAGAAAGATCAAGACCTTTGGCGGCTCCTAGTCACTTTGGCAGGATCCATTCCCCGGGACATGGTAACTGTTCATAAAATTGCAAGCCATCAAATGAAACATGGAGCTGACATGGTAGAACTTTGGGCCTTCACAGGCAACGACCTCGCAGACCATGTTGCCCAGTGGAGTACTAGGTTTCCAAACACACTGGTGACCACTTGGCACCACGCGGTGCAAGCGCTCGAAGCTGCCAGAACACTCCGCAACCAGGTGCACGCAACGATGCTGCAAGTTAGTGAAGCTGCTATCCGGAAAGAAGTGCCACTGCGGGGCGACGACCCACCACAAGTGCCGGCTCCGCTGACGCTGACAGAGGCCACCATCGGCCCGCTCCCAGCACTTCCACAAACAGCCACACATAAGCTAGTAGGGGAAGCCTGGAGCCCCCTCTCTCGTTGGTCGATCGGCCTTTGTGACACCTCTGCTGAGGTACGATTCCTCCCATGGCTATATTTGTATCTTGATTTTGTGCTTGTCACCAACTATGGCGGCGTTAAGCCTTCCTCGGGATACAAAACATGGACATGGTTTTCTCGTCAAGCAGCCAGTTCGCATGCAGTTGTGACAAGGGTCAAATGGTTCCGTCTGATGCTCATCCGAGTCTACAAAAGTGAATCTCGACCCCTGTCTTCTGAGTACGCACGCCCCTCGTCCAGGATCTTGACCTTCTGGGCACACTGCGTATGTTGCAGGATCAGTCCAGAACGCTTCAAGGCGATCGAGCAGTTGTTGGTTTCCTGCCGGGCCACCTATACGTGTGGCATGGACATAGAGTCGATCACGATCTGATTCGTGAAAGTGAGTTTCTGGCCACCCCCGCGAATAGCTGCGGTGCCAGTACCGTCCAGAAAATGCAGAAAATGGAGGCCATCGCTTGTAGGTTGGAGGCCATCGCTTGTAGGTCGGAGGGCATCGCCGCTACTTGGGGAGCCGCGCCCTCACCTTAGTTTTCGTTTAAGTGACGGCTGAGGAAGAAAGACAAGCCGTTGAAAACCATCGGAAGCAGGTCGTGGAGTACCAACAAGAATGCATTTTCTTGTGAAAATACGTTCTTCAACTTCAACTAGTAACAAGTGCATCGCTACTAGTAACAAGTGCCTTACTAGTAGTAACAA